TCCGGTAGACACTTGTCGTATAAGGCAACAACTGTATGTAACAATTCTTGTGTGTTACACTATGAAAATATCACAATGAAGAATTTCGCATGATTTTTATGCCGAACAAACTTGAAATTCGTGTGCAAGATCATCAAGATCAGCTTTTTCTGGAGTGTGTATTAGTTTCCATAGCCGTGCCTGATAAACACTGACGATGAATGGTTCAATATTTTCGCTGATCGTTTCACGAGGAGTCAACGATATGTTTCGAGCTATGAGAGCGAAATCTTTCTTAGTGGAAAACATTGCTTTTCAGTAAAAGACACAATGAATACGGATGTAATTACATTCGCCATTACATTGTATTTGAAAGTGACATCTCTACATGTCAGACGCTAGACGGATGATGAATAAGAAATGTTTGTTGTAGATGTCGTTCGTGGTTTGCCTGTTTCATTGAATCAATGAATAAGCTTTTGCTTAATTATCTTTTAAGTATGGTTAGAGTATGAAATATAGCATTTCATCGCAACTATTTCAGTTAATCCACTCAGACACCGGCTATCAAAAACGATACTTTCAACCCCAACCAAACTACTCACAAATAAACTTCATATAATCGATTAAAAATCAAGGTAATCTCTAATCGCTTAAGTGGATTATGATTACACATATTTGCGGACGCACAACAATCAAACTTTTATTAAAAATTCTATGAGAAAACATTTTTCCGAGCAAAATTGTCGTTTGTCATGTTGATATTCCGTGACAAAATACATAAAACTAATATGTGTTCTTTTCCTTGACATCATCAGATGCTCAAACATTACTGGAATTTGTTCATCAACAATCAGAATCTTTATGAGCAGTTCGCTACGAGTAGATTTGCACTACTTCTTAGTAGCATATTTGAACCGATGCTTTATTGAAAAGAATCTTTTTCTGTACATATTAACATCAACCTTTGATTATGAATATGCTGTTGTATAATATTATCTGTAAAAGACAATGACAAAATATCTTTTATATTATTAGACGAGAATTTTATTTCACGTGTCAGACAGAAATTGCATGGATTGTGGTTACCGAAAATTTTGAAGTTATACGGTTTAGTCGATCGTGATTTCGGTTCTTACTGTTTCGGTGAAAGGTTATGAAAACACAATGCATTCCGTTCAAACTTGCATCGAAAAAGCATTTTATTTCAATAGCCGACATATGACAAACAAGATAGGATCGAAAGGTTATTTATAAAACATTATGATAGGCCAATAACAAAACGCAGTTTCTGATCTAACTACAGTATGGTTGGTCATTTCCCCATGATCGACAGGATGATGGACACTTGCCAATCGTCACCCATCGATTACCACCAACACATTGAACAATACTTGCTCCACTCGATTGAAAGTAGCATTGATATTTACCTGTATCCACACATCGACCAGTAGTCGTTCGACAGTCACATCCTCGACGAACACGATCTGGTGCTATTTGAACAGAAACGAAACATTCGTTCATGAAATAGATAGATGAAGGTGGAGACACTTACCATCGAGAGTTGCAGGGTCGATGATGTTGAGTTCTTCTTCGGCTGTTGGATTAGCAGACGAATAACAAACGACTGCGAAGAGAACCACAGCAAATGTGATGATTGTTGAGATTTGCATGTTTGGAAAACGAGTCAATGAGTCTTTACAACAATGATGATACTACAATTTAATTCTCTATATTTATACATATGCTGGTTACTATATATAGGTACACAGAACGAGAAAGAGTATCACTGATCGCCCACTCATCCGTGCGTAGTAATGTCGTATGTATGTATGGGGATGACGATTTACCCATCTTGATACTACACTCCACCTTTGTGGTCGTCAGTCTCATCATATACGCACTGGGAATCAACTCCTGCATCACATCACCCGTATAAAAACTCGAGTATCTCTTCATACCTTCATCATCAAATCTACCTTCTCAACTTCGATCTACTAAAATGCAAATCTCGACAATCATCACATTTGCTGTGGTTCTCTTGGCAGTCATTTGTTATTCGTCTGCTAATCCAACATTCGAAGAAGAACTCAACATCATCGACCCTGCAACTCTCGATGGTAAGTGTCTCCACCTTCATCTATCTTTCTCTGAACGAATGTTTCGTTTCTGTTCGAATAGCACCAGATCGTGTTCGTCGAGGATGTGACTGTCGAACGACTACTGGTCGATGTGTGGATACAGGCAAATACGAATGCTACTTTCAAACGAGTGGAGCAAGTATTGTTCAATGTGTTGGTGGTAATCGATGGGTGACGATTGGGAAGTGTTCATCATCCTGTCGATCATGGGGAAATGATCAGCCATATTGCAGTTAGATCCATATCGCTCGATATCAATACAAAAACTCTCCTGCTTTGTACAGTTCCGTTAACCTTTTATTCTAAGTAATCATTTTTCAATTTTAATAAACTTCGCTTTGGGTTTCAATGCCACATATTCACGAGTTGGTCACTAAATTATGTTTCACCATAAGCAGAGAGAGATAGAGAGAGAGAAGTTGGTGGTACTTCTTGTTTATGGGAGTTAACAAATCTACGAGGAACACGATGAACATTTTGAGCTGAAGATCTCCAGAGATGCTGCCAGCACAGATCAGTTTTTGCCATTTCCATCAACAGATATTGATGTCGGTTTGCCTTGGTAATTCACTACACTCTTCTAGACAGAAACCCACTCTATGAAAAACTTTCTATATAGCATCGAATAAGTTATAAATATATTTCTCCTGAATAAAAATATTTTACAGCTCATCGGTGCACGTTTCACCAGATCTTCGAAGGTATGTGAAATGTCGTGTAACACATTAGATCAACACTGTATTCTACGTAATTAACGGTAATAGGCATAACGATCAATCTCATTATTTAGACTAGAATTGATGCTCATGCATGATTTTACACTGTAGATGTATAAATGACAACATAGAATTCAAACAGCCAAGTGATAGATGCGGCAACTCAACACAAGGAATTTGAAATCGAAGTTAAAGGAATAAGATGTTTTATTAGAACCAGTGAAACGTGATATACAGCAGTGAAAACGTTTGAAAAAAATCCGAATATTGACTGTACAGCTAGCGAATCTAACTGCAGTATGGTTGATCATTTCCCCATGATCGACAGGATGATGGACACTTGCCAATAGTCACCCATCGATTACCACCAACACATTGAACAATACTTGCTCCACTCGATTGAAAGTAGCATTCGTATTTGCCTGTATCCACACATCGACCAGTAGTCGTTCGACAGTCACATCCTCGACGAACACGATCTGGTGCTATTCGAACAGAAACGAAACATTCGCTCAGAGACAGATGGATGAAGGTGGAGATACTTACCATCGAGAGTTGCAGGGTCGATGATGTTGAGTTCTTCTTCGAATGTTGGATTAGCAGACGAATAACAAATGACTGCCAAGAGAACCACAGCAAATGTGATGATTGTCGAGATTTGCATTTTAGTAGATCGAAGTTGAGAAGGTAGATTTGATGATGAAGGTATGAAGAGATACTCGAGTTTTTATACTAGTGATCTGATGCAGGAGTTGATTCCCAGTGCGTATATGATGAGACTGACGACCACAAAGGTGGAGTGTAGTATCAAGATGGGTAAATCGTCATCCCCATACATACATACGACATTACTACGCACGGGTGAGTGGGCGATCAGTGATACTCTTTCTCGTTCTGTGTACCTATATATAGTAACCAGCATATGTATAAATATAGAGAATTAAACTGTAGTATCATCATCGTTGTAAAGACTCATTGACTCGTTTTCCAAACATGCAAATCTCAACAATCATCACATTTGCTGTCGTTCTCTTCGCAGTCGTTTGTTATTCGTCTGCTAATCCAACATCCGAAGAAGAACTCAATATCATCGACCCTGCAACTCTCGATGGTAAGTGTCTCCACCTTCATCTATCTTTCTCTGAACGAATGTTTCGTTTCTGTTCGAATAGCACCAGATCGTGTTCGTCGAGGATGTGACTGTCGAACGACTACTGGTCGATGTGTGGATACAGGCAAATACGAATGCTACTTTCAATCGAGTGGAGCAAGTATTGTTCAATGTGTTGGTGGTAATCGATGGGTGACTATTGGCAAGTGTCCATCATCCTGTCGATCATGGGGAAATGATCAACCATACTGTAGCTAGATCCGTATCGCTGAATATCAATAGAAAAACTCTTCTGCTTTGTATATTTTTGTTACATTGTTTTTCTGACCAATCAATTTGTTATTTTAATAAATCTCATTCACATATACTCATGCAAAACAGTGACTACTGTTACTCGTCAGATTGCATCTCAGGAGAAATATTGGGAAATCGACTGCAATGATTTTTTAGAACTCCTAACAAACATGGAACGTCTCGAACCCTGAAAATATGGTAGAAGCTTGCAGAGATGTGTCTATTATTTTCGCTTTTACTGATTCGCACTGACTAGTTAAAAAGGATCTTTGCAAAGAATATGTTCTAACAGGGGCACACTCTTGAAGTATTCGTACATATTGATCAAGATCAGTTAACCTACATTCTGAATACACTTTTCTCCACTAATCTTACACTTTTCTACTACATGGCATCAGAAGTTCTCATCGACGTTGTATCGCTCGGTAATGCATCGAAGATCTTTTATCTCTTCTCAACTAAATTATGAAAATATTTTACATCGGATTACAACGCTTATGAAATCTGCAATGAACGTATAACATTTAATCTTTATAATACAGTCATAATTCCATATATAGATTTTGAATACTTATCTAGAAAATTCTAAAGAGGCCTTTCGTTTAATAATACTTGCTATATTTGGATCTATAATTGTTTTTTTCTCAAGAATATCACTTGAATTGTATAAGAGGCCTTGTGAAACAAAACGTCTACGAGATGTTTCTTCAGAAGTTGTTTGACTTGATAATGCACGAAAGATTTTCTCTAAATACGTCTATGGGCGATATTTCTCATGAAACGTCAACAACACGCGCGATCAAATTTTGGATTCTATTATTTTGTCAAATTCCATCAGTTCTTTGTTCAATCTTCGTGTTGTACCATATGGTTCGTTCACGTGCAAATCGACAAGTTTTGGCTAACCACGTTGTGATTGCCATGCTTGGTGTAGGCGTTCTGATTGTTACGATCGATCTGTCTATTGCTCTAAAATTTCTGTATCAAGGAACCGTGAATCCTCGTTCAGATGCCTTCTGTTACACATGGGTGTACATTAATTATATTCTATACGTAAATGGAATCTACCTAATGGCATGGGCGTCGATTGAACGGCATTTCCTTGTTTTTTCTCCCCAATACTTTCGCACATTTCGTCAACAGTTAATCAGACATTATTTTCCCATTCTTCTATGTTTGGTTTATCCTATAGTCTTCTATATTTACACAATTTCGTTTTATCCTTGCGCACAAGTGTTCAATTATCAACGGTTAGTTTGTGGTTCACCATGTTTTAAAAAAGCCTCATTTATATTGAATTTTTACGATCAAGCAATGCATAGTTTAATCCCATGCATAATTATCGTTTTATTCACGGTAGCTTTGGTAGTTCGAGTCATTCGACATAAACGGCGTATCCAAGGATTGTTATTTTCTTGGAAAAGACAACAGCGAATGGTCCTACAGTTACTTTCTATTGCTTGTTTATATATTATTTTCAATGCACCGCCATTCTTCGTTGCGGGAATAAGAGCTACGGTATCAAAAACATTTGCTACTGTTGAATATGAAATCTATTTTCTATATTTATTTTATGTTCTAACATTATTTTTGCCGTTTGTCTGTTTGCCTTCGTTAGGTGGCGTACGAGCCAAACTTAATGCATTGGTCAATACAATTTTTCGTCAATTGTGAAAATTGATCTTGATACAGTTTCCTTATTTTGAATAATGAATCTCTCTGATGTCATTTGATCTTTATTTTGTGATCCCATATGACAAACATGGGACCAAGTTCGAGAAAGCGATATGTGGAGTTTTTCTTGGTATTGCGCAACACGAATTGAAAGTTCTGAGTTTCAATTTCGGCAAATGTCCTGACATTGTATGAGAGAATGAAAACAATTTCTGCTCGTGTTTGTTTTAATTCGAACAATGTCTATGTCAATATTTTTCTCCTCTTACAATCAAACTTCCTACGATTGATTAAATTTTATATTTTTGTCACTGATAATAGGCTAATGGAATGTTATTTTAGGACGAAGAAAGAAAACTGTAAATAGCTTTTATGATTGATTGGAACAGAAAATGATTTAATATATGTCTGTCTGGGCCAACAGTCGATGATATTTGACAACTTTTGCTTCGATATCTATCGATGTGTTTGCTATAATTCTCCGAAGAATCAGATGATGTCGAAAGTATTCATTTTCATGAAGGTCTATGTACATGATTCACAGAAAAAGAACTATTATTACGAGTAATGTTTGATGTGTATATAGTTGTATTCTATTGTGAGACGTGATTGATAACAGGAATGTCATTGGTGAGAAACGAGTGGGCGGAAAGAGAAAAGAAAAGAAGGGAAAAGAAATCAGGAAGTATACAATATTAAGCAGCACGTCTAGCTAGTAACTTGAAAAGAACAGAGAGAAAGAGAGAAAAGTTATATCTGTAGTGAGATCAAGTTAGGATGCCAAATTTGGGAGGAACATTTGGGTTAGAGTTTCATCCCGCCACCGCATTCTTCTTTCTTTCTGTATACATATACAAATACCAAACAGTCTCAGATGCTCTCTTTCGCTTTCTCTCCTAGGGAGGAAACTGTATATTAGTAGTGATGGTATCATTCGCTCCATGCTATTTCTTTTCCCCCTTCTATCGCTTTCACACATATTTCCACAGTATCTTCCATTTGACGTCAGTATGATAATACTGGAAACAATCATTTTCTTACTCAGAAATATTATCGATAGAACTGATTGGAGATTTTCTTTCGTCTATCCGCTATAAACAGAGAAAATCAAGGCGAATAATTGTTTTCTTCTCTTTATTCAGAGAAACACAAAGTCCTACTCAATCAACTCATTGATCTTCATTATTTCAATAGGTAAGTGAATATACTGTTGGAGAATCTGACCGGTAGTGATTTCTAATTCATAGTTAAATCATGCCGTTCAAACCACCTGAAGTAGCTAAATGCCCAAAATGCAATCAGAATGTCTACGCTGCCGAAGAAGTCCCAGCAGCTGGAAAGAAATTTCACAAGATGTGCTTTAAATGCGGTAGATAACCACGAAATGCATCGAGCCTTTTCACACACATCGACTGTTCGCATGCTCCTGCTTATGTCATCCTTTTTCAGATGCCATTTTCTATCCAAATTGTGCGGTGTCCGAAATGTAATCAGCCTGTTTACCATGCCGAAGAAGTGCTAGCGGCAGGTAAAAAGTGGCATAAAACATGTTTCAAATGTGGTAAGGTGTTAGTTGTTCTGCGCTATGTTTTCCTTTGCTAATTTGTTCGTCGTAGATGATGATGATTACTTTGTGTTCTTTATCTTTCCTTAGGTCTTTGCAAGAAAATGCTTGAATCAACAACACTTGCTGAGCATGACGGCAATCTCTTCTGTAAACAATGTTACGCTCGTAAATTTGTAAGTAATCATCAGTCGATTCGATACATTCAGAGATGCCATTTTCAAATTCATTTAGGGCCCGAAAGGTGTAGGATTCGGCGGCGGAGCAGGTACCCTTGGCATGGATACCGGTGAGCATCTTGGCAATAAATCAGGCTCTGAGATGTCGTAAGTGGAATTGCTTCGAAAATGTTCTTCTCTGTATTAGTACTTACTTACTTGCAGGAATAAACCCAACTATGCCCCACCCCCTGGTGCTAGTTCACATGAATAAATGCAAAGAAATCACTTTTAATGCATACATATCTCATTATTCGGTTATTTTATTCACGTTTTATGTTCTATTTTTTATTTGAAATTTATTGAAAAGAGTTTTGTTTTTTATTATTCAAGATGAGTGTGGTTGAAATTCTAATCATTGATTGTATAGAGTTTAGATTCATTCTAGATCTTTGCTTTCTTATTTATTCGCATTATCATGCCATTCAAACCGCCTGAAGTCGTCAAATGTAAGTTGCAGCAAAAACAATTGTCATTCATGTAAGAGGCTTCCTTTTCTTAGGCCCAAAATGCAATCAGAACGTTTATGCAGCTGAAGAAGTTCCAGCAGCTGGCAAAAAATGGCACAAGATGTGTTTCAAGTGCGGTATGATACTATCGATCTCGGTTTTCTTTTTCTAAAATTCTTTATTAAATCGTACAAAAGGCCTTTGCAAGAAAATGTTAGAAGCAATGACAATGGCTGAACATGAAGGTCAAGTTTACTGTAAACAATGCTATGCCCGTAAATTTGGGTTTGTACTGGAGAGAAAAAGAACCTTTATTTGTAATAAAATGCCCTTCTTTCTCTTTCAGACCAAAAGGTTACGGTTTTGGCCAAGGTGCTGGCACATTAGGCATGGATACTGGTGAACATTTAGGAAACAAAAGCGGTTCCGAAATGACAAACAAACCAAATTATGCGCCACCGCCAGGTGCCGGCCTACACGAATAAATCAAAAGATATCACGATCAATTTGTCCATTATTTCTCATGTATAAACACGAATCGTTTGGTTTTTGTTTTCAAACAACACAACCATCTTAGCCAGCCTTACTATGCTTTCATTTTTCCACCTGTTTGTGTTTGAATTTTCGTTTTCGTTTTTGCTTGTTCAATATTCTATACATAAAAAATTGGTTTTTGCCTGTTTAATGCATAGAAAACAGACGATCACCGTAGATATCACACATTCTATACAAACGCTTTCTATGCTTATACACACAAGAAATGAGAAAAGAGAAGAAATAGTAGTTGTTGCCTAGAGAGAAAAATCTGGCGTCTTGCATTCTGTTTACGTAGTTTATGTGAGATCAATGAGAACGACAACAGCAGATCGACATTAGTCGATGTCATTCTTAACTTCTATCGAACAGCTTTTATTAATGATACAATAGGAAAAATGTCTACATGTGTGTTGAAGCTTATCTTCATTCGTAGTGGAAAAGCGCGAATATCAGAGAACAATTTCAATTCTTCAAATGAATACAAAACAAACATGTTCGTGCTCGACGTGCACTTGCACAAATGGTTCATTTCGTTATCGGTATGGAATTCAGCCGAATTCATTTGTTTAGATCTGAAATATTCTTTTTCAGTAGTTTCAATTATGATGATGATTGCTTAACCTATGCTTTAATCATCATTTATGAAAGTTCTTTATGGTGTGTGCAAATCATCTATGACTTATTTTTTAAGTCATTTTGGCAAATTCTAATCTATGTCAAACGAGAATTACAAGAAAGAAAAAGCGATAATCACATGAGTAATTGTTATGGAATGAAATCTTTCAACACGTCTAGGAGCAATAATTATCCATTGACTGGTGAGAAACGAGTGAATCATACATTACGCATTCATGACTCGTCGTCACTTGATATCTATCATCGTTCGATCTCTTCATTGCAAGAAACAAATGATAATAGACAGATTGTGCTAACCCCTGTTCGGTCAACATATTGTCAAACTGAGATGAAACTTCAGACAGTCAATACCACTAATGCAATGCATCGTCCATTAACCCAACCGTTAATATTTATGAATCAATCATCAGGTGTGTCATTGAATTAATAACTACCAAATGATCTATCCTCTTTATTTAGAACAGCGAGTTCCTCAACAAGTGTTAAATATTTCAAAACCGTGTGCAGGTAATACATTCGATGCTATCAGGATCAATAGATCGTTTATTTTTTGTTCCAGGTAATCAAGTAAAACTTGAATCAAGTTCACCTACATCGAATACCATTGATCGATCGACTTCAACATCTCCTCGCCTAACAATTCGATCTCATCGGAAACCGAAACAGAGAAAACGATTCGCCGATAAGCATTCATTACCATTGGCACTGGCAACAAGTCTTCATTCTAATGTTTCGTCATACAATAACAAATACTGCTATCAATGATATTCTTGATTTGTGATATATGTTGTCAAAACTACGAGTAAATATCGATTTATTCATTAACAACTGTATGTATCAAGCAAAAGCATACGCGCCACAGACTTGCAAGTGTAGATGTGCTTTTAAAATATCTTCTATCCATGAACGAAATAATGTAATTATTGATGGATTGTTAATAGTTTTCTAGACACAATAGATATTTCATCTTTAGATAAAATAATACAATGCCTTTTCTTTGCCATGAACTCTGAGTGCATAATCTGACTGTATAATTGGATCTTCATGTTCATCTTCTAACCATATCGGCTTTCGTTTCTCCATGATTTTATTGAAATAGCGATTGAATCCTGAGTAGATCGTGCAAATAGTTGATTACGCCTATACTCAAACCATTCGAACTTATTCAATTGAATATAAAACTTTTGCTCATTGACCAGCGTATAGCAGAATATTGAAGGGTTGATTTTTTTCGGAATAAAATATCATATTCAAATAAGGCAACAATATTGATAATGAATATTTGAACAGGTCAGGATAAAATAAGCATATATGATGACGAAGAGTCTTCGAATTTCCTTTGACCTTGAACTAGTTATATCCCGTTACGAACATGATCAAGAAAACTAGATATGATTATGACCTATTAACTATCCTGTACGTTGCTCTTTATATAATTAAAAACTAAAAAGTTATTCATGTTATTTTTTTATCAATGAAGGAAATCTTCCTAAATATAATAAATTTACGCATATGCTTCAATGCACCAATACGCTGCTACTGACTTATCTAATCTTTCGTATCGTTGCCGTAGAAAAGATAATTACCTACCAGTATTTACGTTACTATCGCCAATGCAATCTTTCCGTCCTTTCCTTTCTAAGGTAGAAAGGCTCTTCTAACACGTAGTTGCCTATGTATATATCTGCTCGTGTACTGAGTACAGTATTCAATAGCTTTTATTGTAAATAACAAGATATTAAAGTTTTACTGGTAAAACATTTCTTTCAAAATATCCAGGATTAATAATATTTCCCACAGGATAATAATTCGTCACAATGTAAACTTCTCTTCCATTAGCGGATAAAGCTACTCCGACACCCATCTTCTGTGAAGATTGCCAGATCATTTGTGTAAAGTGCCCTGTGTCTTCAGAATATCTCGGATGTTTGAAATCGTATAATTCGATTTCACCATACCAATTTTTTGCTGCTTCTCTTCCACTAACTGGAACTCGACCCTCAGATATCCATTGCATAAAAAGATTTTCTCCTAATGGTTCATTACCAAAGGTGTTTCCGCTGTGTTCGAACTTCGATGTCGCAGCTAGATGTTCGGCATACTTTTGAGCAATGAAATTCAATCGTTGACTAATCACCAATGATGGAGCCGAATGATGTGCGCGATAAAAGTTGTGCGAGTATAACAAATCATTGAGAACTTTGTTGTACATAACTTGCGGCGCGTCATGCCGATGTTGTCTTACATTGAGGTTATTTTGAATTGCAGACGGACGTTCATATCGGTGTCGACCCTTTCGAACAATCTTGTTCTCATGCTTTGGATCTGATGGTACTACTCGATGTAATATCTTTATTAAAATTTTCTCCCTATACACACAAGACAAGCAATCAAATTCGACCTTGAATGAAATTAGTTTGCTTACATAGGATATTATTCACAAGAAGAAAACCTATGAATACGTGGTGGATTTTTAATAAATATCATCAAATGTGTTGTTGACGATAAATAACGTTTATATAGTCTACCTGTTTCACGATTTAATGACGTCTTATGTATGAGATTCAAGCATGACTTCGACGAAAAAGAAAGAAGGAAAATGAGTAATACAAGAATGGTCGAGGTCATTCGTTATTGTCGTTTAAAAGGATAAACGAAAACAGAGGAGTTGCATAGATTGCATGGGTTCGAGTGATTTCTTTTAATCTAATATTGAATGACAGATAATGCAGATTTAATAGACTAGGTCGGCAAGCCATGAATTCATTCGATAGAGTTTTAGATTAGGCACGACAAAATCGATTATTCAATCTGATCTAGAACCCAAATGTTATGAAACATTTCTCTATCAAATCTGATTAATCCAAATTCTTTCCTTTTGCCTAATAATGTCTGACTGAGTACGTTATTTTACTTTTGATTATAAAAAGAAAAGGAAAGTAAGCAATAGATGGCGCTAGCATTAGTTAGCACCCTCATCTTAACCACTCCGAAGAAAACCTAATATACCTATGTAATGGCCGATAAAATGAATCATATGTTTTATTCAAGAGAAAAATATTGAATAGTATAAACGGCTGTCACTGTTTGATTGTGCTATTACAATTTGAGTCGCCAGCTGTTGTATTGATTCTTCTTCTTCTTTCTTTTTTCTTTTTTCTTGTCTTCTGTCTCTCGTAGATATTCGATTTCGTAGCAAGAAGTTCAATGGCGGCTGATGAATGTAATATCCGTGTCGTTGCGCGTTTTCGTCCATTGAACGAATCTGAAGAGCGTGCTGGTAGTAAAAGTGTTGTCAAATTTCCTGCTGATCAAGACGAAACTGTTCTCATTAGCGTATGTGACACTTCTTTCTCCATCATTATTGTTGTTTGACATGGCAATTTTCTAGGGAAAAATCTATGTATTCGATAAAGTATTTCGGCCAGATGCGACGCAAGAAAAAGTGTACAATGAAGCAGCAAAAGAAATAGTCAAAGATGTTTTAAGTGGTTACAATGGTACAATATTTGCTTATGGGCAAACGTCAAGTGGTAAAACTCATACCATGGAGGTAATTTGATTTACAGAAAGTATATTGCAATGAATTGTTCTCTCTTAGGGTGTGATGGGTAGTGATGGTCAACAGGGTATTATTCCTCGTATAGTTCAAGATATATTCAATCATATCTATACATTGGATGCCAATTTGCAATTTCAAATAAAAGTTTCTTACTTCGAAATTTATCTCGATAAAATTCGTGATCTATTGGATGTTTCTAAAACGAATTTGGCTGTTCATGAGGATAAAAATCGTGTGCCTTATGTTAAAGTATGTTGATGAGGATAACGGCGCTTTCTCAAGAGTTTTATGCTGATTTTTTTCTATTATAGGGTGTTACGGAGCGGTTCGTTTCATCACCGGATGAAGTTTTTGAAATAATGGAAGAAGGAAAGAACAATCGCCACATCGCCGTAACCAACATGAATGAACATAGCTCTCGATCACATTCGGTTTTTCTCATCAATGTTAAACAAGAAAATGTGGAAAATGAAAAGAAATTAACCGGAAAACTCTATCTGGTCGATTTAGCTGGTAGTGAAAAAGTTTCGAAGACCGGAGCTGAAGGTCAAGTTCTTGATGAAGCCAAAAATATCAACAAATCGTTATCAGCATTGGGAAATGTTATATCCGCCTTAGCAGACGGAACTGTATGTTATTGTTTGACTTTGCGAACAAAATCTCATTTGTGTACTTTCAGAAATCTCATGTTCCTTATCGTGATTCAAAATTGACACGTATTTTACAAGAATCTCTTGGAGGCAATGCGCGCACAACAATTATTATATGTTGTTCTCCTGCTAGTTTTAATGAATCAGAAACCAAGTCAACCTTAGAATTCGGCAAAAGGTGCGATGAAAACGAGATTTTCCAAGCTGAACTTGTTGCTGTTTGTTTAGAGCGAAATGTATTAAGAATCAAGTTACTGTTAATGAAGAATTAACGGCTGAGGAATGGAAACGACGATGGGAAAAAGAACGCGAGAAAGTAGCTAGATTGAAAGGTCAATTAAGTCGAGCCGAAATGGAACTTGAACGATGGAGACGCGGTAAGATCATCTTGGGACACTAAAACCGACATTGGTCGATGATTTTCTTCAGGTGAAACTGTGACCAAAGACGAACAAATTAATCTACATGATATCGATGAAACATTATCAACAACCCAATCGTTAATGTCGTTATCAACAGTTGCAACATCATCTGCTAATTCAACATCAGTTATCGATAGCACGACGGGTGTTACTAATACATCATCTGCTTTAGTTGCACCACCAATTAATGCTGACGAATGGGAAAAGGAGCGTACTGCACTTTATCAACAACTCGATGAAAAGGTATGTAGTAACTTTGAGAAAAAAAAAGAAACAGTCTCTTGAGAGACTTGAGATTTTCATATTAATGACGAAGGCAACACATTTGTTCTTTGACATTTTATATGCCGGTATAATTAAACACATTAAAAGGACACATGAGCCGTTTTCTTTTTGTGTCTATCAGAATGGATTCCATATGCGAGACGTTGTTGTTTGTCAATAGGGAAATCATCCGATCAATATTTATTTACCGAACACGTGTTCGATTGTTTTAGGACGATGAAATCAATAATTTGGCACAAACCATCGAACGACTTAAATCTCAAACAACTGAACAAGACGATATATTCAGTCAAGCACGCAAGGATAATGAAAATCTTCAAGCGGAGCTGAACCGTCTTCAACAAGAAAGTGAATCAGCTAAGGAAGAAGTTAAAGAAGTCTTACAAGCTCTCGAGGAACTTGCGGTTAATTATGATCAAAAAACGCAAGAAGTTGAAACCAAAAGTAAAGAAAATGAAACGTTAACCCAAGAGCTCGATGCTAAATTGGTGCGTATTGATACCTTTGCAACTATATCTAATCAAATTTGTTTCGTATCAGGCTTCATTGAATGGTATTGGCGAAGAATTAGAAAGCCTTCGTGAAGCATCACAAACACATCGAAAACGCTTTCTTGATATGATTCTCGTACTTCTACGTGATGTTGGTGATATTGGCAGTATCATAGGTGGACAAATGAATGAACAAAAGGTTTGTTTTACTTGTAAATATCAATTCGTATCTAAAGTTTCGTCTTCAGAAACCAACAATTGAAAATCTCGATCAAGCCGAAGAAGAATTTACACTAGCACGTCTTTACACGAGCAAATTGAAGACAGAAGCACGAAGTATTAGTAACGTAAGTTATCACTGCAGCGTTCGATCACTGATCGGAATTTTCCTTTTGGATTTTTTCAGCGTTTGAGTGAATTAGAATTAGAAAAAGTCGATCATCAAAAAGGCATTGGATTGAAAGATAAAGAACTAGATGAAGCACGTTTGTTAATTCAACAACACGAAGCCAAGATGCGCTCAATGCTCGAATCAATGAAAGAATTAGAAGAGAAGAAACGTACACTCGAACAAACTCAAGATTCATTAAATGAAGAATTAGTTAAACTTCGTGCACAAGGTAAAGGTCGAGTCCGATCGTCATTCTTGGCTAACAGATTTCGTTTAGGCCGTGTGACTGATTCCTCATCGGATGTTCAAAAAGAACTAAGTCAACAAATGCAACAAATCAGTGAACAACATCAAAAGCAATTGACTACCCTACGTGAAGAAATTCGAGGCAAAGAAACTCAAATGGAAACATTGAAAGAGTACTTATTCATTTGTTTGTCTCTATCGAAAATCTAATGTTGATTTTTAGTTCATTGCAAAAACTGCAATTGTCCTATGATAAACTCTCGGGTGATTATGACAAATTGAAGAAAGAAGAAACGGATAAATCCAGTCGATTACAAGAAATGACGTAAATACAGCTTGTGTTTGTTCTCTATGAATTTCTCGATTATTTCGTATCTGACAGATTACAACAAGAACGTCGTGAACAAGCCAAACAAGATTTGAAAGGTTTAGAAGAAACTGTTGCAAAAGAATTGCAAACATTACATAATCTACGGAAATTATTCGTTCAAGATTTGCAAGCTCGTCTTAAAAAGGTTCGCTTTCATCTGTTTAAAAACGAAATCTTCTAGGAAAGAACACGCTGTTTTTAGTCACAAAAACAACCTGAAGCAGAAGATGACGATCTGGGCGGTACCATAGCTCAAAAGCAAAAGATTTCCTTTTTAGAAAATAATCTCGATCAATTGACCAAAGTTCATAAACAGGTAAAGAGAAACTTTGCATTCGTATTTTGTTTGTAATCGAAATCGATTGATTAGCTCGTGCGTGAAAATGCCGATCTTCGATGTGAACTACCGAAATTAGAAAAACGCCTGAAAGCAACCATGGATCGAGTCAAATCGTTGGAACAAGCATTAAAAGAAGCAAAAGAAAGTGCAATGAAAGATCGTAAACGATACCAATCTGAAGTTGATCGAATCAAAGAAGCCGTTAGACAAAGAAATCTCGCTCGACGTACAAATGCTGCTCAGATAGGTAATAAATATGTTCATTTGATATACCATAGACAAATGTTTTTGAAAGTCGAAAGTGAAACATTCCGAGAGGAGTTTTATTGTTCAAATTAAACAACAATAACAATAATGATTGTATTACATAAGCCTGGACCAAAGAAAACAGCTGTTTCCGATGATTGCTATAGGGACAGAGAGATGATTACAGGAAATATGAATAATAGTAATGGTACGAAGCGGAAAAAGGAAATGAAGATATTAGCAGGAGATTATAAGCATATATGGATTCACTAATCAAGCTTTTCAACTAGTTAGCTATGAAACTTCCGTTCTTCTCCCTGCATATCAATATATATATATGGGTATATGTTTCATTCTAGTTAAACCTATTCGGGCTGGTGTCAATCCATCAACTAATACTTCGACACCGATTCCAACAATTCGTGGTGGTAGCCAGTCAATGGATCAGTAATAGAATCTAGACATAGACTCATTTCAATGCATTTTGTTTGTTTTTTTTCTTCTTCTCCTTTTTACTTCTATTCATCGTATTTGTTCTATGTGCGTGTGCTTTGAACAATGTTGTTGTTTGTGCTCGTGCATACATTCTCCTCGTTTTATTGACAAACAAGCGCGAATATTTTATTTATTATTATGAGAATTTATCGCCTACACACTTTTACTTCTAATCGCAACCATTTCATTTCTCCGATATTCATAAATCGCTTAGCGATTATGTGAATAATACTCATGATTTGTTTTCTCTTCTGAACAGTTTCTATCTCTTCTGTGTGTTTCGATTTACCTCTTTGTGTCCAGCCGCAGCAGCATCAATTCTATATTCGGGAGTGGAAGATATTTTTTGTTTCTTGTTCAATTCTTTCTCTCTGTGTTTGTATTCGTTTATCCATGGTGGTTGTTGTTTCAACTGTTTTTATTCATCTCGTTTCTACTTCTCTCATAAGCACGTCTCTTTTTTTTTTCTTTTCTTATCTTTGACATTGTCTTGCAACTCGCGAGGTTTTCCTTCTTCTTCTTCTTCTCTCTCTCTTTCTCTGTCTCATTTTCTTTTTCAGTATATTGTCATTTATTTGAAATATGTAATGAAAACAAATAACTATATCGAGATTATATAGTCTTCGAGATAAATTTATCATTTTACACGGAAGAAAATGAATTTTCATCCTTTTATAATGAGACATGACAGACAAAATCTGAAGGTAGGCAATGAGACATGGATTAAAACTAGACAACCCTTATATGAAGAGATCCGTTAGTTAAATTAATCGAAGTAATGCAGTGGCAAATTCTTTCATTTTGTAATTCTCTTAGCATTCCGTCTCGTGTTATTAAAATAGAACGAAAGAGAAAAGGAATTGCAAGTTCTGTTATTCCTCTATCTGACTTCTAACAATTGTTCTATTTTTCATACAATAGCTTCCGTCTGAAAAGATTATTTTCACGTTATGTTTTGGCAAATGATAGGTACCGTCAATCGATTAATGGATAGTTGAAAAGAAAACAAACAACACATCTCTACTGATCATTTCCAGTCTGCATTTTGTTTCAAGAGCTCCCGCGCGTAAGATTCATGCGAGCCATTGAGAAATATTCTAATCAAGATGACGAATTATTGCATCCATTATGGATAGGCATACTATTATTACTCAGTATAATAATTATCGTTGGCTTCGTTTGTTATATACGAGTCAAATGTCATTCTCAAGTACGACTTCTATGCAATCATCTCTTTCGTTGCAAAACAGGTAAGTTTTTTTCACTCTTACTAGAATGGCTCTTCGAATGGTACTTGAGTATTTGCTTCATACAAGAGGTCATTTCTCGATAATGATCTCTTTTAGTTGATGTGGAAGACTTTGAAACAATCGAAACCTTTCTTTCGCAATTAGATGATATTTCCACTTGATTACTCATTTCATTACGAAGAAAAAAGTTCACAGTTCAAAAAGCAAAACCGCGTAAATCCGAAAGAATTTCCTATATTTTCTAGCACAACACTCAGCGGATGAAAAATGTTCTCCGACGAGACATTCGTATAATTGGCCATCTATTTACACTTCGACGAAAAGTCAATCACCAAAGCTCTATACGTTAGTAAAAAATCTTCGAACTGCGAACATTGAACGGCAACCATCCATCAAAGAATCCACTACGTATGAGAATGCTCAAGTCAATGTTATTATTGAACCTAAACACACACGAGTAAGACAGACTTGTTCGCATTTGTTTGTAACACACCTTCTCTGGACATAGAAACCAACTACAATTTCTTCGTCACCCGCCAATAGTCAACGTGCGTCGGAGATAGCGCGAAAATTCTATGCAAGTATGCGTCGAAATAGTCAATGTGGCCACTCGTCATCAATTGATAGTTATATTAATGAAGTGCCTTCACCAATGAACTCACCCTCAGCTGTTGATCTTTCGATAAACGCGAAACGAGATGAAAATCTGTCATCATTTCGTGCATCGTATTTTTTTCAATCTATACCAGATACCAGCCTAGCATAGATTACTAAATTGGTTCAGACAAATAAATGCTCGAGATCGTGTTTCCTACTGGCATAGGAAGTCCTACATAATTTCGACAAGAGTTTCCGGCTTTTCTTTTCTTTATTTGAAAAAAACTCTAAATAACTGAATTTCGATTCACAATGAAATATATTTATATAAGTTTTTGTCTCAGGACATTCATTTCAACTTTGTATACTCACAGACAATAATAAAAAATAGTAAGAATTGCGCAGTAAGAGACAAGCCAAGACAAATCTTATCGCGCACAAGAGAAAGAGAAAGAGAAGGAAATACACACACACGAAAACAAGAAAAAGCAAAAAAAAAGAGATGATTTCAAAGCGTTGTGTTTGTCGGATGAGTGTCATGAGGAAGAGACGATTTGTCGGACGTTGGAGATGAATTCGTTGTTGTAATAGTTTCGTTTCGTACTTTGACGGTAATGACTTGAACGCTCTGTTCCATGATCTTCTCACCTAATGATGGATGATTGGAAAACTCGGACTTCGTTATAATTTTCCGTGAAGTTGTTTCATTATCATCGAGCGCTGACGGTTGTTCGTCGTAAGATTCGGTCATAAAACGACGTGATTGTTCACCATCGAGCGATTCCGAATGAATGATTTCTGTGTACGTCACATTATGACTGGCCGATTTCACTGCTGTGTTTGTATCAACAGAACCGGCAACAGGTGGTACTGATGAATTTTCATTGACGATTGGCTCTTCAGTTGATTGAGTATGAGTTTGATTGAAATCAGGCTTTTGTGAAGAAAATGAAGTTGATGGCAAATCAACTCGTTTTGTCGGAAGATTTTGCTCATGATGTTTCTCTTCATCAGACATATTCAGAACTAATTCTTTTATTGTATCAGTAGGTAATGATGGAACAGGTTCACCAATTTGACTTCGAGTCGTTGATTCAATTGTATCAATCATAATTTCATTCATATTATCAACAGCACCAACAAGTTTAGGTTGAATGTCAGTTTGACTAATCGCTCGTTCTTTTTCCTCATCAATATTTGTAATTGCTTTCCCTTGATGAATAATTTCAGCTAAATTAGCTGTATGATCTTCTGTTATTGATTTTGTTACAGTCGATGATGCTCTTTTATCAGGGCGACTCTCTTGAGTACGTTCAAATGAGGGTGTGGGTTGATAAATAGATTCGAGCCCTTTAAGAGCGGCGTCAATGGAACGACGAAAATCGTCACCAATTTCATGTTCATCGAGTAGTTTCGACGGCGCTGATGGGGGCGGCGGTGCTGGAGCAGAAGAAGTCAAATGCGGTGTATGTGTGCTTGTACTCGATGTTCCTAGAGTAGACTTTGGCCGCATCTTTACTTCGGTTACAATAATTGATCGGAGAAGATTTCCGTCTTGATTTAAAGTATCGTCATTGTCATCGATGATTCGCACGTCATAGCCACCATTTGGATTAGCAAATATAGCAGCTTGTTTACCCTGACAAAATACAAAGAAGAAATAAAGTGTCGTTTTTTTGTGCAAGGAAACGGATTCGTCAATTCTTTTACCTTATAGAATGATATACGCGCTTTTTCTAACGCTTCCTTTAGAACAATACCGGGTTCGCCTGTTGCCGCTTTATTGTCGGATGCTTTCGTACCGTTGGTTATCTAAGGAATTTCATTTGTTTAGAAGAAAAATGTCTTTTTTGTTGATAACATACTTCTCCATTAGTCGATCCAGTTGTTTGCTGTTGATCACTATCAAGTAACAATTGTCCATGACGTAATTTGTCTGCTGTCTGTTTCAATACATCAATCGTGCGTTCAATTTTCTTTGAAGATGCAGATGGTACTTCCTTGTGTAGAAGTTTTGTTAACTTATTCGTTGTTTTTATATCGTGACGATCAATAAGCAGATCAAGTGCTTGACGAACTATGGGACGATAATCGTCGATATCATTGTTTGATTGTGTCGGAGAACTAATACCATTAAGAACGTATTCATCAGCTTTTGGTCGATTAGATTTTAGCCATTTACGAAACTGATCATTAATCAATTGTTGACTATTATCCGATATTGTTGTTGTTGTTGTTGTTGGAGGCGGCGGATTTGTATTTTCTTTCGAACTCGTACAACCCATCTTTGTATCGACAAACGATCAATAATAATTACTCATCATTTTTAGCTTCTTTTTTTCTCTTTTCCTCTTTCTTGTTGGCTTCTGTGTCTATCTGGGTCCACATATAGAAAAAGAGAAGAAGACGAAGAAGAGGAGAAAAAAGTTTGCTTCTCTCTCTCTCTTTCGCCGCGCCTTGCTCTTCCTCTTTTCCCATTTCTATTTCACTTCTATACATCACAGTACTGCTATTAACGCCGTTCGGGAGCTGTGCATGCATGTATATACGTTCAATTATTCAGTGAGGAAAGAAAAAAAAACGAGAAATTGAGATTCAGTAGTACTATTTCTCTTCTCTCATCGTTTTTTCTCTTCGCTTAGCACATGATAGAAGACGAGCCGTTGAACGACGACGTTGAGAAGAACGACATAAACGTGCATTCACCACAACCACTCATCCCTTCTTTCTTTTCTCTTTCGCTGTAGTTGTTATTCTATGTTGTTATTGTACTCTTTCTGTTTCTTCGATTCGGTGTTACGCCTTCCTCGACAGCATGGCTTGCATACGATATATTTAATGATGAATTCCAGTAGACCTTCAATGTTCTTTCCTTCCTTCCCATCCATTACTGTTGATGTGTAAGCATACAGTAATGGTAAAAAACGTACAAAAAAAGGAAAATAGTCGACAATGACTTGCTTAGATACACAACTTAGCAGCGACGATAATCTTTTTAGCTAAGCAGTTATCGAAACTGAGAAGTAGAGAGGGTGTTGGCTATCGAGAGAAAAGTCATTTAAGACTTGCATGCATACAAGTTCGATCTTCACGTAGACAGGCAAAGAAATTAGCTCGAGATAAATGACATTTGGGCCCTAGAATAATCAAGAGATGTCAACAATCGAATTTAGTTCGTACATTTGAAACCGACTCTGGTCTTCTTCTCTTTCCTCCTCGATTGAAAATTGATTCGATCAAACATATCGCTGAATTTCTATTTACTCACTCATTAGTCACATATTCCACTGAGAATATGACATTTTAATAACTAATATGGTAATATGATATATCCAACTGCCGTTCAAAAGACTGAATTTCCCGCGAAGCTAATCAATAAAGTGAAGGAAAGAAAGCTCGATGCAAGTAAGCATTGTAAATAAGAATTTAGCATGAAAATTCGTCGTCTTAATTATTCATATATGCATTTGACATTGATTAACTTCGAATGATGTCCTACGTCTTCTTCGCTTCTGCGAACGAAGAGAATCTTATATAATATTAATCAGTATGTGTAATGATAAGTCATTTACAATGACATTTGTCTACGTTTATTATTTATTAATCATGAACAGTGCATTTGCTTGTTTCGATATTAACCTTGAATAGGAAATAAATTCTGCTCATTGAGCTCAAGTTAGACTCGATACATCGATCGACAAGCCTGCAGGCTCTTCTTCTCGCTATTTCTCCATTAAAATCTTGCTGACTGATTTGAAAGGAAGAAGTACGTTTGATAAAATACTGTTAAGAACTTTGTCGTCGAGTCACATTACTTGCCGTAATTAGATCTCGGGCATTAATTGAAATAAATCGACTTTGATGCTGTACACGACAAGTCTTATTATCGACAACTAGATGTATGCAAATGCAATCCGATCATCTCACTATTGCTATTTTCTCAGTGCGACGGTGAATTCGAGACTAATGCGCAAATCAACTTCTCTATAGAACACATAATGAAACTCATTAAGTCTATCTGTTGTATAGCAGTCGATCGAGTTCAACTAGGGAATGAACGGAACATTCTTAGTGTTATTTTTAGAATATTTGCTTTTTTGCAAATATCACATCGCCTGTGGACATTGCGCGATTAGAGCAGAGTGATCAAAATCGAACATCCGGAAATTAGAATGACAGATTATTAAACGATCAGTAATTCAACATCTTACTCCCTATACCAAATCACCTCGTTTGTCGAGGTCATGTAAAACATTAACATATTCATAAACTGTTCAACCAGAAAATATCTCATATTTGAATGGTTCGCCAATCGAATTGAACATCGATATACATATCCTTCTAACGAGAATACAACCTAAGGCTTACAAGTCTGGTATCGTAAATAAACAGAAACATGATCTTGATATTGGTAGCGATGGTATATGTCATGTTGAGTGTGTTTGACAAAAGTATCGAACGAGTTCCTGATTTGTTATTTCCAAGGTGAGAAACAGGTGACATTTTATCTTAATTAGCCGTGACAATATCAATCGAATAATATTCTCGACATCAAACACAAGTCATTGAACCGGAAATTAAATTAAACAAAGATCTATTTCGTGCTTATCCACTATATTATTTCCTTCAGTTTGTTTGCTTTTTAGTTTCAGTATGTTCAAGAGAAAAACAAGAAACAAGAGAGAATAGATACACAATACAAGAAGTAACCAAAAGCGATGTGTTAACATGCGACAACATCGAAGCAAAGATCAAAGTAGAAGCATCATCGAAAGATGATAATTGTTTTTTTTTGTACTCGCAAAGGAAGACAGTAGAAAAGCAGAAGAAGCAACGAAAGGAGAGAAACAGTGAGAGAAGGAAAAAACAGAAAGAAAGAGTAACAATTACAAAATAAATGTTTGACGTTTTGTTTCTTTTTTCTGTATATGTGACAATACACGTTGTACGGAACGTCTGGTTTGTTGTTTTTGAGAAAACGAGAAAGTAAATAAAGTAGATATATAACAAAAGAAAAACAATTAGTCTATGTTGTTAAGAACAGAGATCAAATGCAAAAAAAATAAGAACACAAAACACAAGGAGAAAACACGAACGTATTCATGCCAAATGTCTCACTATGGCAAATAAGAAAAAAACAAACAACAAAATTCTTGATTGATCAAAGTGTAGGAGAAGAAAATAAACCGGTCTTAATAGTCGTATGCAAATAAAAAAACAAAACAAAAAGAACAAGTATTGAAGAAAGAAAGAGCTATTCCTGTTTTTAATAAATTAATCGTCGCACTCTTCATAATCTGAATGTGAATCGCTCATTTCAAATCGAAGGAGATCTCGAATATCAATACAAGGTAATACACGACGATATAATGCTGATATTAAAGCTGCTGATGTGTAATTAGTCTGAAACAAAGATTCGTTCATTTCGAATTCGAGTTTAACCGTTGTCTTACTTTATGTAAGAGTTTCATTTGTTTTTCATATTCTTCCTTATCTTTATCTGTAATTTCATAATTGACTTCGTCATATTCGTTCCAGCCCATGCGTATTAATAATCTAAGGGCAAAAAATGAGAAACAGATTCGTTTGAGAATTCATTTCAACGTACTCTTTCTCTTCAGGTGTTTCAACCATGGGTAAAACAAGTAACGTTGCGTTTGATACTTTGACATTTCTATCTGAACTTGTAAGAGTTGTTGGTTTAATTACTGGATTATACTGACGTTTAACTCCATTTTTATTCTCTCCGTATTTTAATGAATTGAAAAAATCGCTGCGTTTATCCAAGTTCTTCGTTTGTGTTATACAATTTGTTTGTAATTCCAATGTTATCGAACGTGGTGTTGACGTACCATTGACACCATTTGGTGTACTTAGTAGGCGATCTTTACGTGTTGATATGCGATTGGAGCCGATGGTGCGAACATTATTTGACAGTGAACGATCGAACGGTTTAAATGGTTCATTGTGAGATGTACGAAATTTCGAAGCGGCATTGTTCCACACATTTGAAGAACGCTCATTTGATGATGAGTCGTGTTTTTCACGACCATTTAAGGAAGGCTGAAATACAAACAAGTTCGAAGGCAGAGAAGAAGCAAAGATACATACGAAATCTTGTTCGAGACGGTCAAAACCTGATGGGTCTGTTGTTTGTTCATGATCATTAGTTCCGAAGATCTTCCCTCGATCATCATTGACAGAATTATGCCGAATATTGGACAATGGACGATCGTTCGAATACGATGATATGGAATGTAAACGACGCTGAGAAGTATTTATTGAACGATATCCATTGTTATTATCATGACCGTTCGATGATGATTCTATATGCTATTGCGAGAATAAAAATAGTATGAAGAAGTCTGCGATTGGAAAGCATTCAATTTCATACTTTCGCAAACGAACTGGGTGCGCGTTCTCGACTGTATGACCTTCGTGATGATGAAAATGTAAAGAAACTCTCCGAATGTCCACCAAAACCGTTCCGAGTTTGACCTAAAGCAATGAAATTATTCAAAGGATATGTTCATCCAAAGACATCCTCAGTAATATTACCGAAGGTTTGCTGAGAATGAAATGGTGATTGTCGAGTTATCGTCGGATCGGATATATCTGACGAATGATGTCGTTGTCGACCTGTACTTGTTGGCGGGGATGACGATGTTGAACTTGTTTCACTTCGATTTGACGCTTGTGATTGGTAATTATTGCGATCAAGAGTTATTTTTGTACTGCCATTCGTTTTCTATTCGTTCGTGAGAAAATCAAGTTTAGTGAATCAATTCAATCAAATGTACTCACATCTGAACTCTGAATTTTCATCCATGCTGGCACAAAGCCACTTTTGGCCATCACATCGCGCCGAATACAGGTATTACTAAAACGATGAACAAATCGCAAATCGGAATTCGTCCGATCGAACATTACCTGTTATGGTCTGGTACCAGTTTATATGGAAATCATTTAAAAGATTTGCTTCGTTGATATATATTCTTGTTTGATTTTCGTGAAAAAGAAATCTAGTTTAAGAAACTAAGAAAATCATTCCGAATGAGTCATCTGAAAAAAGAAAACAGAACGACAATGTTGACCGTTTCAAAAACAAATCACTTTTGGTATTTATCAAGTAAATTTCTGTCCTTTTTTCTGTGCATTATTTATGAACGAAGAACTCACAAATGATTCAGTCAACAAGAGATTTGCATTGAAACGCGAGTCGAACAAGAAAATCGAGATTGACAATAATTTTTGCAGGAAAATAATATGAATTCTTGTTTTGTTTTTTTATTTATTTTTCGACACATTAACCACTAGCGACATCGCTCGATAGAGAGGCAAACTGCTTGGTAATGTCTTGTTGAAATGGAGACTTTTTTCTACCCTAGAGAAAATTAGGACATCGACGAGGTTAGTAATGTATGCGACGAACTGGAAAATTATTTAAACAAGCGCTTTGTTGATTAGAAAATACTGGTAAAAATAAGCATGACTGATGTTTTCGGCAGATTTCTTTTCTTAAATGTCCTTATTATCATGAATTTGTTATGTTTTTGCTTTTTCGATTAATCACAACTTGAATGTAAGTTGAAGTATTTAATATATATTCATGAATATAAACAAACAAAACGTTATTGACACATTGAATCGAATCACAATGTGCGTCAAGAACAAATGGCAATGCTGTTGATGCATCGTTTTTCTTCCTCGTCTTTGTCACCGGCAATGTGTCGATGACTTTCTTTTTCTTTTCTCTTCTTTCTCTTGCTCTCGTATACTCGCTTCGTCGCCTTGTGTTTGACGGTGTACTTGATTGCTTAGCGACGCCTCCTCTACGACGATATCTGAACAAATCGTTCGTCGAGAGGAATGGATACTCTCGTTCTCTCATTGGCATTGAATATGAAGTAACGACCGAAGAAAATGGTGGAGAAACAAAAAAAAAATGTATATATATATAACACTCGATGATCATGAAGAGAAAAAAACATTGATAATGTGCAATATGCTTCATTTTCTTCTTTTAGATCTGATTTGAGACAAACCATTTCATGTGTTAATCGATTCATCTGATGAGTTCCCATCATCAACAACAACTACTTGCTTGTTTGCAAACAGGTCAGACCGTTGATATTCAACGATCCAATGGTCGCATACATCAAGCTGTTATCACTCAAATAAATCAAGAAAACAAAAGTGTCACTGTTGAATGGCAAGAGAAAAACGAAGGCAAAGGCAAAGAAGTCGATTTAGATGCAATTTTTCAATTGAATCCAAATCTCTTTACGGCTGTGACGAACGCATCCAATGGTGCTACTGATCACGATGCAAATAATAATAATAATAATAATGGTGATTATTACACTAACGGTGGTACTGTGTCACATTCAAATCGTCGGACAAAACAGCAAGGTAGTGAAGTCGAAACTGGGCGTAAGCCATCTCAAGTACCTGTCGTTGCTCGACCAGCCATTGGATCGACATCGGGCGCTCAAGTGAATAACGAAGTGTCTCCTCAGAAACAAGCACCGATTGCATCGGTACAACCAACATCTACAACGGATTCAAATAAGTCGAAAGTCGTGAAAGAAATCGAACGTATAGCTGCCAATCGTGAGCAACGTCGTGCCAGACAGGATGAACGCCGACAGAAACTATCCGAAGTTGATCAATCGATACCTGCATGGGAATTTCAAGCCATGGTGAGCGAATATCGGCAGCAACTGGATGTAAGTGTATTGACAATGAACGAGCCACAAAAAGATTTAAAAATCTGCGTTTGTGTACGCAAACGACCGATAACCAAAAAAGAATTAAGTAAAAAAGACATCGACGTATTGACAATTCCCAATAAAGAAGTCGTTATTGTTCACTTACCCAAAGTCAAAGTCGATCTAACGAAATACATTGATAATCAAAAGTTTCGTTTCGACTATGGTTTTCATGAATCGTGTAATAACGAACTTGTCTATCATTTCACAGCTCAACCATTAGTACAATCATTATTCCAAGGAAACAATCCAATGGTATTTGCCTATGGACAAACGGGTTCTGGTAAGTGAATGATCTTAGTACGAGAATGTTAGACAGGAAGTCATTTCAAGGGAGAGGATGTGTACTTGCCTTTTGTCAATAATGAATCGATGCTTTTCTTCTTCTCTGTCTCATATCAATAGACGTTTGTTCTAATGAGAAAATTCTTTGTCTAGGTAAAACATATACCATGGGTGGTGATTTAAGCCAACGTGATGTGGATTTTTCCAAAGGAATCTATGCATTAACAGCCAATGATATCTTTCGTCATTTGAATAAATCTCAATACAAAGGCCAATTTGACGTTTACTGTACATTTTTCGAAATCTATTGTACCAAAGTATTCGATTTATTTAATGAGAAGAAACGTCTACGTGTACTGGAAGATCACAAGAATCTAGTTCAAGTTGTAGGTAAAAAGGAAGAACAGGTGGAATCGGTTGAAGACGTAATGGCTTTAATTCGACGCGGTATGAGTGTGCGAACATCAGGTACAACATCAGCGAACGAAAACTCTTCTCGATCTCATGCTGTGTTTCAAATTACTTTGAAGAAAAAGAATGTAACAAAAGAATATGGTAAAATTTCCTTAATTGACCTAGCTGGTAGTGAACGTGGACGTGATACTCAAACCAGTGATAAAACAACGCTTATGGAAGGTGCGCAAATCAACAAATCCTTGTTAACATTGAAAGAATGTATTCGTTCATTGGGGCGTAATGCCGAGCACATTCCATTCCGTGGTTCAACCTTAACTAAAGTTCTACGTGATTCATTCATTGGTGAACGTTCGAAAGTGTGTATGATCGCCATGGTTTCTCCAGGAAATAGTGATGCTGAGCATACGCTGAATACATTACGTTATGCAGATCGTGTTAAAGAATTAAACGTTGAAGAAATAAAACAACGTGGTGGAAGTAATCATGCCGGACAAGTTGGTGGCGGACACGATGATATAGGCTTAGGTCAAGGCTTAGATGAAGAAGATGAAATGGATGACGACGATGACGGCGATGATTTAGTTGGAATGAACAATCAAAATCAAGTTATACCGACATCACGTTATGGTGGACAACAATCGAATATTCCTAAAGCTCAACCGCAACAAGCACAAGCAATAAATAATAAGCGACCGGTTGGACATAACAAAAAATCGGAAGCAACGCGTAAATTCGAAGAAGCCATTGCACGTTCACAAGAAATCGAAGATTTAACGCTCGAATCTCATAATGAATTAATTGATGATTTACCTCAAATCGTTGCAAATCATCAGAGTTTACTTGATTTATCGACGAACATGAACTATGATCGTGATGAATATGCTAAACAATTAATTCATTTGATTGACACTCAACAACAGCATTTAACTGAACTACGTAACAAAGCATTACAAATGCGAGAAGCTGTTACTTATGAAGATTTATGTGCTAAAGGTTTATCATCAAAATGATGAACGAAAATTTTCTTAGATATTGACTAAGTTTCTTTTTTTTATGCTGCCGGTTTCTCCTTTTTCTCCTTCGGTGATACCTTTTCGCCCGCCGCTGTCTATCTGTGTGTGTGTGTGTGTGTGTGTTAGTCTGATAAGTTGATTGCTGGTGTACAGGACAATAAAATTCGTATTCCACTATTTCATTTGTGTCGCACATATTTGACATTTTCTTGTTCTTCTTTTTCTTTTGTTCTTATTCTTTGTCACATGCGTGTGTTACTGTTGTTCTTTAAGATTATCAAAGCATGGATATATAATACGACTACTACATTTGTGAAAGAATTCAGAAGATAAGTGGGATAACGGGTTAGACGGAATTCTTTTTAAATATGTGGAATACTTTTTTTTTCACTATTAATTTTAAAATAAAGAAAAAACTGTTCTTGAAGACAAGCGGTTTCTTATGACTATCGTAGTTATTCGGACATGTTGGAAAAGACATTGGTGTACGATGGTGGCGGTTGTCGAGAAGGTGACAGTTGAATAAAGCTGACAGGTTCATTGTAGCCTTCGCTTTGTGAGATTTGAGAAATCGTAATAACATTAATCGCTTATTGTTCAAAGAAGAAAATTAGCATGCTGACAATGACGAACTCTTCAACTTACGTGTTATTTTGGGCGATAATGCGTATTTGTGACGATTGTAACAGTAGAGTAAAATACCACATCCAATAGAAACACAGGTTACACAAGCAAAGCTACAAATGATAAGACAACGGTTCGTTTTATTCAATGGCAGAATTCCAGATTACATCGATAACCAATTATAATTGAAAATTTGGAGGAGTTTTGATACAGTTAGCGTGTAGGACTCAGTTGAATTGCACCTAAAAGAAAAATTTAACTACCTTGAAGTTCGAACAAGTAGCAAGAGGTCGAACAGGCTGATATCCGACCAGTATAATCCGTCGACATTATATTCCAAACATGCGTTTGCATTTTCCTATAAAACAAAGATTTACTTCACTATTATTTAAGAGTTGTTCAGACTGTTTACAGCTGAATTATTGGAAAAAAGAGTGAATGATACGAAGATTAGAGGTAAAAAATACACCGATTTCAAATACATCCTTGGTGTTATGTTTTCCAAATGATCAGATGAGAAGAAAAACTGGCTGTATATATATGACTAGAAATGATGGATGCGTGTTAATAACAATTAGAATAGATAGGTTCAATGTAAATCTTGAATTTGAATGTGATGGAAATGTTCGTGAGAAAGAGAAATTAGTCAATAGTCTCGAGGATGCGGGTGGTGGATTATCTTCGGCATTCGTTGAAATCCATAAATAGTGCACTTAGATCAAGGATGGAGCTCGGATTAGCTAGAATTGATGATAGTGCTTGAGAAATCCCTACAGGAAACAAGTCAATGTGAAATTTTGCCGTGCAATCTCATGCTAAAGCGGAATTTTCTCGCAATCAAGTCCAGTTCGTTCTGTATAAATACAAGCCTCGAACAGAAATTATGTCGATAGTCAATGGAATATTTATGCTTTCAAAATAATTATAGATCATTGCTCGGTTTAATACTAGTTGACGAAAAATATCCTCGATACACATATCAGGATAAAGTGTAATATCAGTTATCTATGTAGTTGTCGACGAGCAGTACTATGACGTTAGAAGATCGGTGACGTTTACCTATTCATCGAAGTCGTAGGATAAGGTGGCTCGAAACAAAACATATAAAATAGAAGTAAAATCATCTGTTTTTTATTAAACTAATATTGAGGATCACGCCTAATTACATGACGAAAGAACTGATGTTCAATTGAGTAAAACATCTTGCTGTGAACGTTTCTTCAGATAATTTTTTGCCTTTTCTACATAGATTTCTAAATATTCAAAGTTTAATTTTAACGGCTTTCTTTGCACGATAGCACGTTGCACGTCGCCATTTTTGACTATTTCTCGCCATGTTTCCAGATTCAATTGTAAATCAAACTGCCACGGAGATGAACTCGATGATTTTGCTGCTGTTAATTTCGAATTATCATCAAGGGAATCCATTTGAAGCACTTTAGATAGAACATCAAACTAGAAAATACAATAAGTATATTCATTGATGACAAGCACGTCGTCTGATTTTGACAGCACTTCATTTCTCGCACGTCAACGCAAGACGTACTGCTCTTGATCTAACTTTACAACTCATACTTACAGTCGGATAAACAATGTGTGAGATAAATCCAATCTGTAAATGCGCAATGTCGGTCGTCTCACGATCGAATGTTGATTTGTTATCATCACAATGGATTTTTTCTAGATCACCTTGCATAAAAAACTCTTCCATGACCTTTTCTGCCGATTGAACGTAAACTGGCCAAGGTTTTGCTGCGTTGGATATATCAGCTGCATGTAACAAAGTTTGTAATAAAGTTTTCGAATCGGTTGCCGTTGTCGTTGCGTTTGTTTCTTTGAAGAAGAAGTATGTGGACATACGTTCAACAAGTGATGCATGATTAGCCATATCAGTCGCAAGAACAAGTGAGATGACCAGAGAACGAAACGTTCGGTATTCATCGACGTTCATATTTGACCAAATGTTAAAACGTTTGTCACGTAACAATTTGAATACTGCACTGGAATGATGGTTTTCTAAAAAAGAAAAAGACAAGAAAAGCAAGAGTTATTCCACGGTTGGAAAGAATTGTCTGTCGTTGGAGGCAAACATCCTTGAACTCAGAATGTCAAGTCATATGTTTGTACTCCAAGAACAAACAAGTCTTTAGACAAATAAAAGACTAATTCTGACAGGTTTACTGTTTCTGCATTTGAACCCGATCTATGTTGAATTTCAGCTATGAAAACTGATTAGGACACCGCTATGTGATGACTTTCAGATAATCCTTGTGTAACATATTTTCCTCGAGGCAAAAGATACGTTGACATGAGAGAAACTGGCAAGCTATCGTACAGTCTGTCTACTGCTTTCCACGCTCCTAATTCAATTCTGGTTTACCTAAAACACTGGAATCATTATAAATCAACGCGAGATCGCTTCTTGTTCGAATTAAATAATTGTTATTTAAACCCGGATGTTCATAATCATGAATCGCTGCAGCAAATAACTAATCAGAGAAGAGAAAGAAAGTGGTCGAATACAAATCGCAAGGTAGACTTCTCTCACCAATGCAGTTATCTCCGTATGTGCAAAAACATGCAAAAGACTGCTTTTAATCAATAGACAATGTGCTGTTTGAAGAACATCAGCTCCATGATAATCATTATGATACGGTGGACGAAATTCTAAATAGAAGCAGAATAGCAACTCGAGTATCATAGTTCTTTTCGCATACTTGTATAGCCATCTGTCAATGCTCGTGCGAAGTTTTTCAAAATATCAATATCGATTCGATAACGCGAGATGATATCGTGCGCATCGAATATCAACAAAACCGTGCAGAGCATCGGTTCGGGATATTCAAGAATATTAAATGACCAAAGATTTAGTTTATTTATATCAATAGGTAAATCCAACATGACATCGAGACGTTCTTTCGTATGCTGTCGAATTTGTCTTTGTAAGGCATTGACGAATGATGACGCTTGAATGATCGCTTTAATCGATTCAAAACGGCCACTTGTCGTCACTGTTCGTTGTTGTTTCGATGAGAAAGTTTGCTCTAGCCATTTGCTAATTTCTCCGTCATCATTTGACGTTATATTGATTTCACTTTGACGAGTATCGTCCGAAAGTATCTCAACGAGATTGTAAAAGATTCCTTGAAAGATTACCAAGAATGCAACGTCAAATGCAGAGCATCTCTTTACCGTCAAGTTCTTTGCCGACGTTAGCCAAGGTTTCGACGTGTTCGAGCATGCCTAAGTGAAAAGTCAGCAGTTTTTATTCTGGTAACTGAATGCAACGTACCATCGTTGGTTAGGCTTAATTTGACGCGTTGCACTTGCTCTTTTGCCATACGCAACCGACCGAGAATGTTGACAGTTGTCATCGATGAATTTTCGGGTTTTTCTCGATTGAAATTACTTGTTCGATTCATTTTAATGCAAGTTTTGTTCCGTCCGATCTTTCCTGTGTAAAGAAGAGAAAAAGAAAGGCAAAAATCATTAATAAAAGAAGAAGAAATAGACAGGATATATGAATTTATTATTAAATCTAAAAGACTTCAGGCATTTCTAACTTGTCATTCGATAAGAAACGACGTCAAAATTCTGCCTCCTCTGATAACAATGTATTCGACAAAAGAGAAACAAGAAACGATTAGTTTTTGTGATCATCGCATTTTCCCCTATCAATTTCGTCTCAAGTAGTAGTGTTATTCAATTGAATTGATCCCATTATTTTTTGTTATCCTTCTTAGATTAGATTTCCGTTTTTAGTCATTGATACTCTTCCAAATCTCTTTTTTTTCCTTCTATTCGTTTCAAGGAAATGAAGCTATCGAGAAAAAACGACAACACACATATGAGAAAACAATATTCGACTTGTCAAGATAAGTTTCCAATAACATTCATTGTAGTGACTGACAAAAGCCAATCGTATATTCTTTCGTTTGATTGTGAATAACATCGAAAAAAAAATCAATTTCTTTTCTTCGCGTTCGCGTCAGAAATACTTTTGACTTGATCTCCTTAGATCTAAGCAAGAGGAGATTTACGTGATCATATAATATTGACGTATCGAGCCAACAGTTCTTGAAAAGAAAACAAGTCTTATGGGTGGTGTAAGCTTTCCAACGATTAGATTCATCCGATGTTATGTTATCGTATATGCAAGAGTCCATCTTGGATCAGATTACCGTCAATTGATTGATATCGCACTTGAATCGGGAAGTAAACAAGAATTCTAATAGAGATAATCGTTTCCCTATTCTTTTCTGTGCTCAGAATAGAATCTCTCAAGAGATTCAGATTAATACTGATCATTTCGATGTTTGCTGAATCGATGCGCAAACCGTGAATCAATTGGCTAAGTTATCTAATGTACTTGA